TTCACGGCTACGTCCCCGGTGATAAGGACTGGCTGGAAAACTACGCCAGCAAGGAGCTGGAGATCAGCTCGTCTGAGGCGCTCTTCGGCTGTGAGCTCGGCTCAGCCCTGCGTGTGGATGCTGGCTCCCCCCTTGCCGCCAAGGAGCAGTGGGCAAAGGCAAAGCCTTCCCAGCTGGAGTCCCGGGGGCAAGAGGGCTACCAGCAGGCATTTGTGGTGCCTCTCCTTGGGCAGGATCCCGCTCCACAGGAGAGCAGCAGCGAGGTGGAGAGAGGTGTGGGCGAGGGGGAGCAGAGCTGTCCCGCCGCTGGCAATGCCCTGGGAGATGATTCCGTGCAAGGAGACAGTGTTGCAGGCTCAACTGAGATCGCTGCTTCTGGGGATGGGGCAGAGAGCTGCACCTTGCACTTAGAGGCACTGAATGTCTCGTCTGAGCCCCTCCTGGAGCATTTGACTGGAGAAGCCTGTGCGGCACAGCCAGAGAGTGTGGAAATGCTGCCCTGCAAGGAGCCTTCCACAGCCTGTGAGATGCTGGGGTCCCGGGATGACCTTGGCTTGGAGGACAATGACAATGCACTTGAAGACATCCCAGACTTTGAGGAAGAGGAGGCAGATGTACGGGAGGATGAGGCGGTGAGGCTGGAGGGCAGTGTAGTGGCAGGAGACAGCCAGGGAAAAGATGACCTAAGGCAGGCCACGGGCCACCTTGAGGGGTCATGCTCGGACCACCACAAGCTGATGACAGACACTGAGGTGAGAGAGGCCAGCCAAGCCGAGCTGCCAGAGGCCTGGCTCAGCGTGCTGAAGACAGCTGAGCAGAGCCACCCGCCTGTCCCGGAGGACGTGGCCACCTCCAGTGACAATGTCAGGAGTGGCTCGGAGTCGGTGCTGAAGGCTCTGCGGAAGCAGGACAAGGAGCAGGCGGAGACGCTGGTGCTGGAGGGCAGGGTGCAGATGCTGGTGGTGCAGTCAGAGAGCCAGATCTTTAAGTGTGAGAAGTGCTCATACATCACGCGGAAGGAGAAGTCCATGTCCCTGCACTCTAAAGCCAGCTGCCAGAGCCGACGAGCCCCGCTCGTGTGCCGGGAGTGCGGCGCCAGCTTTAAGCAGCAAAGGGGGCTCAACACCCACCTCCTCAAAAAGTGCCCGGTCCTCCTGAAGAAGAACAAGATCCTCAAACCAGCTGGTCAGGAGCCATCTGGGTTGTGCCAACCTGATGACCAGCCTGGTGATAATGGTACAGAAACAGCAGAGAGCGAGAAGGGAGGCTCGGAGGAGTCTGGGCATGCAGAGAGCCCTTGGGAAGCTGAACTGCTGCCTGATAAAACGCAGGGGAGTTTGGCTAGGGAATGGGCATCGGGCTGCCTTGCCCCTGAGAAATCGCTGCCGGGTGACAGCACGGAGGTGACAGAAGAACCTCCCCAGCAAGGAGATGGGGCTGAGCCAGGTGGAGCTGTTTGTTCCCCCCTGCCTGGGAAGCCCTCGGAGAAATACCGGCTGGAGGGAGGGAAGCTTCACTGCAATGCCTGCTCCTTCGTGTGCTCCCGTGTCTCCACCATCACCTCCCACGTGGAGGACGGGTGCCGGAGCCTGGAGCAGTTCTGGTGTTCCCTGTGCCCTGAGGCTTTCCGTTCCCGGCGGGCCCTCAAGAGCCACTGCGCCGAGAAGCACGTGGTGCACCTCGAGGAGGACGGACCCCAAAGCACCGAGCTCCCCCAGGGGGACCCAGCCAGCGTTGAAACGGGCCAGCCCAGCGGGCTCCCGCTGGCTGCGGCCCCCCCAAAAGCCACCCTGCCCAAGAGGAGGCGTTTCTCCTGCCCCACCTGCCCCTTCACCTGCCACCAGGAGCGAGCCCTGAAGACGCACAAGAAGCGGGGCTGCGTGGCGCTGGGCGAGTTCCGCTGCGCCTCCTGCCCCTTCACCTCCAAGGCGGCCAAAGCCCTGCGCCTGCACCGCAAGCTGCACCGCAAGCGCTACAGCAAGCGCCCGCAGCTGCAGTGCCGCCAGTGCGAGTTCACCTGCAAGCAGGCCCGCTGCCTGCGGCAGCACGTCCGCATCAAGCACGAGGGGGTGAAGCCGCACAAGTGCCGCTACTGCGAGTTCAGCACCACGCGGCGCTACCGCCTGGAGGCCCACCAGTCCCTGCACACCGGCGTGGGGCGCATCGCCTGCGGCATCTGCAGCCAGACCTTCGGCACCAACTCTAAGCTGCGCATCCACCGCCTGCGGGTGCATGAGAAGACGCCCACCCACTTCTGCCCGCTCTGCGACTACAGCAGCTACCTGCAGAACGACATCACCCGCCACGTCAACAGCTGCCACCGCGGCGAGCTCAACTTCGGCTGTTCCCGCTGCGAGGCCCGCTTCAGCTCCGAGACGGCCCTCAAGCAGCACGTCCTGCGGCGGCACGAGGAGAAGGTGTCCCACGGCTGCCCACGCTGCGGCTTCGTGTGCCACAGCGAGGCCACGCTCAAGTGCCACGTGCAGAAGCAGCATCCGCACCTGGAGTGCAGCACCTGCAAGGAGACCTTCGCCACCCGGGAGGCTCTGGAGGAGCACAAGACGCAGCATTTCAGTCACCGCTGTGAGCTGTGCAGCTTTGCAGCCAAGGAGCGGCAGCAGCTGGTGCGGCATTACGTGGAGAGCCATGAGCCAGCCACCCCCCAGGACAAACCCCTGCGGTGCCCCTTCTGCGACTTCGCCTGCTGTCACCAGCTCGTCTTCGACCAGCACATGAAGGGCCATGGGGGCACCCGCGTCTACAAGTGCTCCGATTGCGAGTACACCACCAAGAACAGGCAGAAGATCACGTGGCACATCCGCATCCACACCGGCGAGAAGCCCTACAAGTGCCACCTCTGTAAATATGCCTGTGCCGACCCCTCGCGTCTCAAGGTGAGAGCCCTGCTTGGGGAGATACATCTGCATCTACCTGGGTTGGGGGGATCCAGACACAGGGATTTGGGAAAGAAGAAGAAACTCCCAAGGGGAAGTTTTGTCCTCTGTCCTCTTCTGTGACTCGCAGAGGAATAGGAGGAGAACAAATAAAACTCATGTAGGTACAATATGTTTCTTCCCTGCTCCCTACTGTTGCAGGTTAAGGGGGATCTGTAGCAAAGCAAGGAGGTGGGCAGCTGTCTGAGTTCGCTCCTCTTCCCAGTGACATCACTGGTGTCCTCTGGGTGCAGCCTTGCACCGCTCGAAGCCAAGTTTGTCTGCCTGATGGATTGCAACATGCTGTGTGGCAGCAGTTAAGACACGGTGCAGGGAAAGCTCAGCTTCCCTGCAAGCAGAGCCAGACTCCTCCCTCGTGTCTGTAGGTGATTAGCATCCTCATGCATGCTAAACGGCCTTTCCTAGAACAGGAGGGTCAGGCATGGGGTAATGGAGAGGAAAAGTGGTCTGGTTTTGCTAAAAGAAATATTGACTTTTTTTAATGGCCAGGCTGAGCTGGAGCCCTCTGGGGCCGCCTGGGCGAGGCTGCGCAACGTGCTCAGCTCAGGGCTAGCTCTGCTGGGCTGGGTTTTAACCCGGACTTTGCCCTAAATACCAAAACTGAGGAAAAAAGCCTGTGCCATCCACAGGCTGGGACAGAGCAAGCTCGGCTGTCGTGAGCGTCTCATCCTGACCCCGCTGTGGATTTCCCCCCTGCCCAAGCAAGTAGACAGCCCTCCTTGCCCCACACAGTTTGAGATGTCAAAGCTGTCTTGGAGCCCCTCGCTGGCACCCCAGAGCCCTGCACGTTCCCAGCGCAGGGGATGTGGCCTCATCCTGACCCTGCCCTCTTGCCCTCTGCCCAGTACCACATGCGGATCCACAGGGAGGAGCGGAAATACCTCTGCCCAGACTGCGGCTACAAGTGCAAGTGGGTGAACCAGCTCAAGTACCACATGACAAAGCACACGGGTGAGTGCTGCCCACCGGGGATGGGGCACCAGGGAGGGTGTTGGGACTGTGGGAACCCCAGCTCCACGTTTCCTTCGCTACCAGTGGCCCAGCTGGAGGCAGGGCGGGACCACCAGCGGTTGGGGGGGGGGGTGGGCAGCATGTTCTCCTGTGCTGGTGGGTTGGGGACAGTGGCCCGGGGGTAGTATGGACCCCAAAGTCCCATCTGGTGCCTTGGAAAGGGGGGTGGGGGGTCTCGGGGTGCCTGCTGACATGGAGCGTTTAGGGAGGAGTCTGTGCTCTGTTACAGGGATGACAAGAGCTGTGGGATGGAGGGCATCGTCCCCCCCCATCCCAGTGCCATCTCCTTCCCTGTTGCCACAGGTCTGAAGCCGTACCGCTGCGACGAGTGCGAGTACCGCACCAACCGGGCAGACGCCCTGCGGGTGCACAAGGAGACGCGGCACCGGGAGGCCCGCTCCTTCATCTGCGAGCAGTGCGGCAAGGCCTTCAAGACCCGCTTCCTCCTCAAGACCCACCTGAAGAAGCACAGCGAGGAGAAGCCCTACGTCTGCAACGCCTGCGGGCGGGCTTTCCGCTGGGCGGCCGGCCTGCGCCACCACTACCTGACCCACACCAACGAGCACCCCTTCTTCTGCCGCTACTGCCCCTACAAGGCCAAGCAGAAGTTCCAGGTCATCAAACACATCCAGCGGCATCACCCCGAGCGTGGGGCTGGCGACCCCAGCCAGGGGGTGGGCAAGGACCCCAGCACTCCCACCATCCACCTCCACGCTGTGCAGAGGGAGAACCGAGCCGAGGGGTCCCCCGGGACAGAGCGGGAAGGAGGGTGCCCCGTGGAGAAGGACGGTGCTTCACAGTGAGGCCGAATCCTGACAGCTTTAAGGCCCTGGTGGCACAGGCCTGCTGCAGAGATCTATGTGTGTGTATAGGCATATCTGTATATGGGTTGTAAAATATGCGGCTGTATAAAAGGAATCTCTCGGCTCCTTTTAATACTGTTTCTTAGGGCTATTTGGAGCCCTGTCTGAGAGAGCACAAACATAAGCCCAGCTCCCTGTCTCTCCCCAGCACCACTGTACCCAGACCCGAGCCTGCCTGTCACTGAACAATTTATTAGGTTGCTTACAGAGAAAGGATGTGGCAAGGGTTAGTACTGGGTGCTGGCCAGGAGCAGCCCGGGGGGGCTGTAGGGGCTAGGGGCTGCGATGGGGCTCTGTAGGGTCACGGGGCACTGCAGACAGATTCTTCTCCCAGCTCTGCCCAGCATCGGGGTTTGCTCAGCTCCAGCCTTGCTCACCTGGGGGGACCAGCCCCTGCAGCAGAGCCGGGGACCGTGCACCATCTCTCCTCTTCCTGTGGGCCAGGGCAAGATGAATGTGGGGGGCGCCGGGGCCTGCACCAGCACAGACCCCACATTCGTGGGTGGGAGGCAGCATACAGAACCTGGGGAGGGGAGGTCAGTGCCTTTTCCCAGCCCTCAGAGGCTACTGAAAAGGGGAGCACGGCAGCAACAATGACACGGGGATGACACAAACGGCTTAACAAGAGGGAGATGCGGTTGGCTCCTCTGCCCCAGCCCCTTGGAGCCGACTCTGTGGCTTCCATCTGGGTCCTGCTCTCCACATAACCTCAGTCCTGCTCAGGGCCGGGCGGGTCGGTGATGCGGATGTGGACAAAGAGCGAAGAGGGTGGAATGCTGGTGCCATCCTTGGAGAGGAGATGGATGTGGCGGTATCCTGCAGGGGAGACAGTGAGGCTCTGGCTGACCACTGCCCCCCACCCTGCTCTCGAGCACCCAGCTGAGCCCCGGACAGCCTTGCAGGGCTGCCCTAGGGCCCCGCTACCACCAGGCAGCGGCCCCCTCACCAGGTTTGATGTTGGCAAAGGCTAGGGTGAACTGGCCCACAAAGTCGTTCCTGGAAGTCTTGTCGTAATCTTCCACCACGAAGCGGACGAGGGCCAGCTCGGGCACGTGGAGCTGGAACTGGAGTGTCTCGTCCCAGCGGGGGTTAAACCCTGGGAAGGGAGAGTGGGTGCTGGGAGGGTGAGGAGGGGCAGGGGTGGGCTGCCTGGGCACAGCGGTGTCCCCGATACCACTGTGGGACTCACCGTTGTTCTCGATGTACTTTGTCTCCTGGCGTGCCTGGTCGGCGGGGACCCCGTGGATCTCCACGCGCACCAGTGGGTCGATGACAGCTCCGTCCTTGCTGTTGGCCACTTTGGGCAGCTGCTGCCCACTGATCACCTGCGAGAAGGGGCAGGGACCCCATCAGCCGAACTGATCTGCCAGGAGGCTGCTCAGCTCCAGCACACTGCCCGACCATGTCCCCACCCACATGGGGCCGACACTGGACATGGCTCCCCGGGGCCTCTCCGCAGCTCCATACCTGGATTGTCAGGGTGATGGGGCCAGGACCCTCCCGGCTGCCAGGGTCACTGGGGTTGAAGAGCGTCTCCTCATCCCTCATGAAGGGTGGTTTGAGCACATAGCCGCAGCCGCCATTCTGGCTGAAGAGCCCATCACACAGGTCCATCTCTGTGCCGGCTGTCTGGAAGTTCAGGGCCACTGGGAGAAGGTGGCAGGGAAAGGGTTGAGGGCAGCTTGGAGGCACCGTGCCCTGCTTGGAGCTGAGAACCAGCCCGTCCCCGTGGCCAGAGAGATGCAGAGCTGCACAGGGGGGACAAGGCGCCAATGCCCGGGTACCCCCAGGCTCCCCAGGGCAGAGCAAGAGCCTGCAGCCAGACCTGGCTCGAGCTGGGGTTGTAGCTGGCACCAACACGGGTGTTGACGGTGCCATTTGGCACAGGATCCAGGACATCTCCCCAGCCCACAGCCCTGACGCCCCCCAGCCATACCGATCTGGCACCCCACGTTCCACATCTCCTGGGGGCTGTAGTTGGAGGAGTCGGTCCGCATCCCGCTGGGGTAGATGCGTGTCAGCTGCCAGGCGTTGTGGCGGACAAACTCATTCCCTAGGGATGGGGTGTGAGGGCCACTCGTGGGGTCATTCCCTGGCCTGCACAGCCACCCACAACATGTGCTACCCATCCACCTATCCATCCAAACATCCACCCATCCACCTACTCACTCACTTACTTATCCAAACATCCATCCATCCATCCATCCATCCATCCATCCATCCACCCGCCCACCAATTCTCATCCCTCTCCTCTCCCAGGAACCCAAGTATCCTGCCTTGCTTTCTAAGCCAATAACCACCCCCCCTTACCCACCAGAGCCCCTCTAGACCCCCTTTATGCCAGACAGGGAGGGGGCCCCGGTGTCTGGAGGCTCTAGCCTTATGCCTAAGCAAGCCACCTGCCCCCTCCACCCTGGCCTGGTCTCCTAGTGCCACTGCCCCTTATGTCTCACCCGCGTCCTTGATGAGCTTCCTGGCCTTGGCCTCAGAGAGCGAGGAGATCTCGGAGGGCCGGGAGTGGCTGCGGGCCTCCTGGAAGCCCCGGAAGGACACGTTCTTGCAGTAGATGACACAGTCGGACAACGCCTGTGCCAGGCTCTCCTTGTCCTTCTGCAAGGCAGAGCCGTGTTGGGTCCTTCCCGATGGGAGCACCGGCCCCAGCATTCACCCAGTAGAGCCCAGGGCAGCCAAGAGCAGCCAGAGATGTGCTGGGGGTGGCAGCATCCCCAACACGGGCAGCCTTTCTGCCAGGAATGGAGCAAACAGGGAATCCCCAACAGGGTGCCACCACAGGGATGCTGTGCAAAGAGGGGGCTGTCATGGCCAGGGGCAGAAAGGACTGTCCGCCCGCTTGGTGATGGCCCTGCAGTGTCTGCCTCTCCTCTTGGCACTGGGATGTCGCCATGGTCCATAGTTGTGTCTGGGGTCTCAGCACTCCTGGCCAGTCCCCAGCCCAGGCCACCCACCTTCGTCCTCCGCCTCTCCTCCTCTGCCTCTGCCCCATTGTCATCATCGGATACATCATGAGCCCCGTCCCCTGGCCCATCCAGCGTGTCCTCCAGCCGCCCAATCTTCTTCCCCTTCAACAGGATCTTGTGCTTCAGCTCCTGTAGGGTTGGGGATAGAGAGGTAGGCACCTTGGGGTGCCCATTTCCTCCATGGCACTTGCTGTCTTCTCAGAGCCTCGCACTTTGGGGGGCCAGCACCACCAGCTCCCTTCAGCACCCAGGAGGGGACAGGGTAGGAGTGCTCTGCCCTGCTGTCTGGCTCTGTGGGACAGGGGGAGACAACCTTGGGGACAGCTTTGGGACCCTAGTGAACATGAGGACACGGTATCTCCAGGGTTCCTGAGTGCTCCAGCGGAGCAGGACGATGCTGGGACAGGGTTCAGCTTTCCTCTGGACAGCAGAGCCACTGCCTCACCCCACTCCCAGGCAGGACAGCGATGCCCAGCATGACCGTGCTCTGTCCCTACCTCTGGGGATGGGAGCTGGGTGGGGACGTGCCCATCAGTGGTGGTGGTGAGGAGCTGTTCTCCCAGGATGTCCTTGAGCTGCTGGGCCAGGACCTCCTGCTGTTCCATGCTGCAGTGGTTCTCCAGGGACAGGATCACCGGGTAGTCTGAGGTCTGGGGAGCAATGAGCACAGCTGGAGATCAGCCTTGGTGGGGTTGGGGAGCTCTCTCCCCTCTGGTCAGTGCCAGGAAGGAGCCCACTGTGTGCCCCTGTATCCCCTTGAGACGTTCACACCCCTTCAGCATTCCCCCGTATCTCATCTCACCCCTGTACCCGGCAGCATTCCCCAGGCCCCATGTCACCCCTGCGCCCCCAGCAGACGGTGCCTGCATGAGCCCCTGTCCCCTGGCAAGGCATGGCACAGGGCTGTGACCCAGACCCCCCAGTGCTGTCCCCCCCAGGAAGGGACACAGCCACCCTCCTCACCCATGGTGGGGTCAGACCTGCTGCAGCACCAGGCACATGAGCCCCACCACCACTCCCCCCCAGACACCCATCAGTGCCCTGAATTGCAGCCACATCCCCCCCACACACACACCCGCTGGGGGCCACCCATGACACCCAGCACCCAGTGAAGGGTGCCCTACCTTGAAGGCGTACTTCCCCAGGGTGCTCACCACCTCCCGGAAGGGAATCTTGGAGGTGAAGGTGTGGCCGTGGTACACCATGGGCTCCCCATTCGGCCCGTCCCAGCAATCCACCTCCAAGCACCGGCAGCCCCGTTTCAGAGCCCTACGGGTGGGTTGTCACCCCTGGGACCCTGCGCCCGGCCAGAGCACCAGCCCCCCTGTCCTCCCCTCTGCCTGTGGATGTCACTACTTCAGGGACCAGGGGACAACCACCGAGGGTAGGGATGCTGCATGCATGCAGGGCAGGTAGAGCTGGGCTCAGCATCCCGCTTGCTGAGCACCACATGGCATGGTCACAGGGGTGCTGGACCATGGAGGAGGCAAAGGAGCTTCTGGGTTTGCCCCATGGAGATGCTTGGGGCACAGCACTGGGGCAGGAGGGTGGTGGCGTCAGCCAGGAGGGAGCAGCCCCTTTACCTGATGTAGCCCTCGATGCTGCTCTGGCCCCGGATCTGGTCCTCTATCAGGTAGGTGTTGTGGGAGGAGGAGATGAAGTAGTGGCAGAGCGGCTGGCTCATGTCTTGCCACAGCGCCTGGTGCCGGGGGTTGAAGATGGAGCCCTCCGGGGAGCAGAGGTACATGAGGAACCCGTCGACACTCAGCACGTGGCGAGCCCGGGCTGCAGATGGAGGGGGAGGTTCAGCAACAGCCAGGGACCCGGAGGGGACAGGATGGGGGCAAATGGGGCCGCTGGTGGCTTCTGGCATCCCCAACTGGGTTGGCATGGCTGCTTCCAGAGGCTGGGGCACAGGGAGAGGTGCCCCAGGGCAGTAACACTGGGAAGGTGGGCCCCGGACCCCAAAGCCAGAGCTTGCACCCCATGGCTGGCCAACCTTCTACACCAAAATGGTCCAGGAACGGACCAAAAAAAAAGGGGAACTTCACACAGACCACACTGTGGTGAGTCTTCCCTGCTGTGCCCACCTGCAGCAGGATGGGGCTGGGGTTGCCCGTGCTGTGGGTCTCAGCCCCCTCCTTCCCTCCGTGCAGAGCACAGCCAGTGTCTGGGCTGGCTCTCACCTGTCTCCGATGGTTCATACTTGTCGATGAGCTCCATGGCCAACTCCTCTGTGCCCTCATCCTCCAGCTGCTCCTGCTGCAGGAAATCCACCAGCTCCAGCAGCGTCAGCTTCTTCCCATCCTCGGAGTAGTCCTGAAAGAGGCTCAGCACCTCCTCGCGCTGCGTGAGGGCCTTGTAGAAGAGCACAAACTCCTCCCCTTCCAGTGTCCCTGACTCAGACTTGTCGGCATCCTGCAAAGGAGCTCACTCAGCACCCAGCCAGGGCAAAATGGGGTGTCCTGGACACCCCCATGGGGCTGGGGGGTGGATTTTCCCCAGGGCACAGAGACTCCACACCAGCGACAGTGGGAGGCATCAATAGATGTGTGAATGGTTGGATGGATGGACTGGCAGATGTAGGACTCGTTGGGTGGACTGATAGATGGGTGGGTCCATGGATGGAGAGATGGACTAACAGGTGGAAGGATGGATGGGTGGATGGTTACATGGATGGATGGATGGATGGATGGATGGATGGATGGATGGATGGATGGATGGATGGATGGATGGATGGATGGATGGATGGATGGATGGATGGATGGATGGATGAACAGCTGGCTGGCTGGTTGGCTTGATGGATAAATAAACAGACGGCTGGTTAGCTGGGTGGACAGATAAGCAGCTTGATAGACAAATAAATGTGAGGAACAGCTGTCTTGGCTGGTTGGGTTGACAGATAAATGAACAAATGGATGTTTGTCTGGGTAAACAGGTAGTTGAGTGAACAAATAAATGGATGGCTGAGTGGGTGGTGGATGGATGGATGGATGGATGGATGGATGGATGGATGGATGGATGGATGGATGGATTGACGGACAGAAGAAAGTGACCCCACATCCTCCTGCAGGGAGGTGTTGTGCAGCTTGTCCCAGCCCCTTTATCCCCTCCCCAGCCCCTCCAGGCCCTCAGGCACAGTGCTTACCTGGAAGAGCCGCAGAGCATGATCCTCATTCATATCCACATTCATCATCTTGAGGAGACGCTGCACCTCCTTGAAATTCATGCGCCCATCCTTATTCTTGTCGGCTTTCTGGAACCAGTCACGAATCCACGTGCGAGAAACCAGAGCAGATGTTAAGGCAAAGGACCTTGGCTAAGAGAGATGGAGCTGGGGAGCATTAGAAAGCTTTTTTTTCCTTTTTCTGGTGGCTTTCCCTGCCCTGATGCAGATGGTGAGACCCAGAAGAGCTAAGCACATGCTGGGGCAAGACTGGAGATGCAGGGCCCAGGAGATGGATGGAGATGGGGGAAGGACGGGGTGTGGAGGGCAGAACGGTGCCCACAGGAAGGATATTGGTCTATCTTCTCCCTTTGGTCCATGCTGGTGGCCACCTCGATGAGCTGGCGCAGGCCCTGGACCCAGCACTGTGCCTCCTCTGCCGAGCCAGCAATGAGGTCCAGGTTGCCCCGGCGGCCGTAGAAGACAATGGTGAAGCAGCGCTCGGGGGGGAACTCCTCGGCCAGGCTCTGCAGCACCTCGGACTGGTGCCCTTCCCGCACTGTCTCCACATCGCTGATGGAGACTGGGACAGAGGGAGGGGAGGCCTGTCTGTGGGGGACAAGGACCGCAGAGCAGGGGGCACTGCCCACAGACATCTGTCCTTCCAGCCATCCCTTCTTCTATTCATCCACCCACCCACCCACCCACGAAGATACCCATCTACCCATCCATCCATCCATCCATCCATCCATCCATCCATCCATCCATCCATCCATCCATCCATCCATCCATCCATCCATCCATCCATCCACTTATCCATCTGTGCCTCTGTCTGTCTGCCTACTCCTCTGCTGGCATGTCAGAGCTTCCACTTGTATCAGCTGCAATTTCTACTCAGCCCTTGTGACCCATGGGTCCCGCTGGCTGCAGGATGCTTCAAGGAGAGGTGTGGGTGAGAAGATTGCCCCAGCACCTTTTGCAAGCATGGCTCCAAGCATCTCTCTACGTTCACATCCCTGTTCACTCTGAACCCTACTGATGGCCCCATGGCCAACACACAGCAGCCGGTACTCACAGGCAGACTCAGTTTTGCCTGTCCTCTTGGACTGGTACCAGATGGTCATGCAGTCATCCTGCAGCTTGAAGTAACGCTGCTTCTTCCAGCTCTTGGACTTGACTTTGCGCATCAGTGTCCCTTGCTGCATCTGCTCCAGCGTGTCTGTGAGCTGGATGCCTGGGGGCAGCATGGGCTGCATCACTGAGGGCAGGGGTATCCAGGCACTGGGCTCTGGTACCTTGCACCTTCTCGCCTCTGGGACCACACATGTTCCCTCAATTTGGGATGGACCCCAAACAAACTCCCTTCACCACAAGAGGGGCAGAAGATAATTCCCTGCTGACCCTTCCCATCCGCCCTCAGCACTACCAAGCCCAAATCCCAACGGCCGCAGTGGGGTAGGGATGCTCCCGGGTGCAGCAAGGTAAGCTCAACCCACAGGCCAGATTTGCCCTGGCGTAAATCCGGATGGCCTGGTGCCCTGCCCTGCCCCTCCCCTCCGCCGGGACACTCACGGGCGTTGCACAGCAGCGATGCCATGGCTCTGCCTCCTCCACGCTGGTGGTCGCTGGGGAGGGAAGAGAGAAGGCAGCTGGGGGGAGCGGGGAGGGACCCCCCCACTGCTCCCAGGTCCCGCCAGTTAGGATCTGGCCGTGCCCACGCATGTGCAAGGTGCGTGTGCCCCTGCCCGTGTGCGAGTGCACCTGCGCCTGTCTCCTGCTGGGTCATTGCTTTCCTTAAGTGTCGAGTTCACCCCGCCGTGCTCATGAAATATTAATTTGTGTTACCGGGAAGCCGGAGCTCGAAAGGTGGTGGAGGAAAACAGAAAAACTTGCATACACAGCCACCCCACAACCCGGCAGATACCAGAGCCCTGGTGCTCCCAGGTCACTGCTCCCAGGGGAGAAAGAACCCCAGTAGCTGGGAAAAATTGCCCTGGGGGGTGCATGGAAGAGCCAAGAACAAGCCCCCACCACCTGCAAAATGGCCCCCAATCGGCAAATTTGGAAGTAAGGGAGAGCTTTACTTGCTGTAAGAGCAAGGAGGGGGGTGCAGAGCAGGACCCTCAGCTCCCCCAGCCCCTTCTCCCTGGGGAACGTCAGCACCCCAAGGCTGTGACTGCACATGGGGTGTGCGCTGCCATGAGTGCAACTATAAATACAACTGGACTGACAATAAGGCTTTGATTAGGCTGTTAAGACTTAGACTGACAAATCGCTGGATGTGCCTGTCACCCGGATGCTGGAGCTGGGCTCTCAAGGAGTGGATGCTGCGGCTGGTGGGCTGGGATTTGGGTGCGGGAGGGGACCTGGGGGTCCCTAGGGGCGAAGGGCTCTGTGCTGGGACGCAGGGGTGGCAGCTGTGCCTCAGGCCCCTGACTCAGCACAGGCACCGGCGGTGCGGGGCTGGGAATAGCCGGTGCCGTCAGCGTGCAGGCAGCTGCCAAGCCCGGCTGCCAGACCCTGGTGGGCTCCGGGGCCAGAGAGTGGCCGTCCCCTGCTCGGTGTAGGGACGGGCAGAGAAGATCCTCAGCAGAGCACTGGCTGGGGCTGTGGCCCCTGCTCCCGGGGGATATGTCAGGCGTGGGGCTGGCAGTGGCCGTTTGGCTGTCCCCAATGCAAGTGGGTACTGCCTGTCCATGCTCTTGGGGACCTCACGTGTTGCTGGAGACATGGAGGGGCTGGAGTGGCACCCCAGCTGCTTCCCAGCAGTGCCCAGTGCCAGGGCTGTGGATTCCCTGCACACCGGCCCTTCTTGCAGGGTTCAGGCTGCAAGTGCAAGGGCAATGCCTGCACCCTGCTGCATCCAACATGCCAGGGGGCACCAACTCAAAGGTCCAGGGCTCAGGGTGCCCACATCCACAAACGGAAGGGTGGCACCACGCTTCTCTCAGACCCTGCAGTGGGTGCCCTGATGCTCACTGGCTTGCAGAACCACAGGAATACCCCACACCCTCCCCCAGCACGATCTCATCCCCCCTGAGCCCCATGATCTGCAGGGAACCAGGGGGGGGAAAACCCCAGTCACCCATCTGCCTGCACCCTCCTGCCTCCTGGCAGCACCCAGCCTGGCACAGCCATTTTACAGGGTCACAGCTCCAGGTGCCCACCTGTCCCATGGCCCCTGTGATGCAGTAGGCAAGGGGATGGGGATGGTTTTGGGAAGCAAGCTTGGAGGGAGAGGCACCGAGGGTGGAGAAGTGAAGAGAGACACTGGCCTGGGACAGGGATGGGCTTGGTGCTACCATCAGGTCTGTCCTCTCTGTGCCCTGCCACACGTGTGCAAGGTCGCAGCGTGCAAGGGAAGCTTCTTGCAGCCCCTGGGCCTGTAACCACACTGAGATTTTGGAACTAATCTTATCTCCCCCAGTGCCAGCTCTTCCATGCTCCAGGCACAGCCCAAGCATACCCAGCCCCGGCCCAGCCGCAGAGCTGTGCCTTCCCTGCACACACAGTGAAGAAGGGACGATCCCTTCCAGCACAGGGAAGATCCCATGAGTGCGGATGCAAGGACACAGCTGTTGGGCTCTTCCCAGCCCATGAGCGATGCCCCAAGCCTGGCACAGCAGCCCCGTGCAGCCCCCCTCGCCCCTGTCTGAGTTATACTGTTGAGGAAAGCAGGATGGGAGCCAGGGATGGAGAAACCCAACCCAAGGGGCTTCCTGCAGGGCAGCTGCCTCCTGTCAGGCATAGCCCCAGCTCGCCCAGCACACACTGAGCCACCGCAGCTTCTCTCCTGGAGGTGACAGTCCCCAGGCAGAGCTGGAGTGCCAGTGGGTGTGAGCACTCCGCAGCCGCCCCAGCGCTGAGTCCCCCCGGCACAGAATTAATTAAATGCCACCGCGGGGGTGGCCGTGCCAGAGCAGGGAGGGATGCCCTCCCCGTCCCCGGGCACCCCTCCACCCTCCTGTTGCCCCAGTGTGCACACACACCGCTCACGTCCCCAGGCTCTGCTCAGCCCCACTGCCCCACACAGCCTTCCCACCCGCCCCAGGACACGCTGCAGCACCCGGGAATGGAGCCTGACCCACGCAAGGGGACCAGCCGGCAGCTGATGGGGTCAGAGGGGTCGGGGGTGCGTGCGTGTGTGAGAAAACCGGCTCCGGGATGGAGCAGCACAACGGGGCTCGGAGGGCAAGTGACACCTTAAAGCAGAAGAAACAAAACCGTCGGCACCTCTCTCCACGCCCCCCCCCCCCCCCCCCCCCCCGCCCCGCCACTCGCCACGCCGCCCCACCTCTGGGCGCCCGGGGGTCCCAGCCCGCCCCGTCGCCGCTCCCCCCGCAAAGACGCCCGGTTTCCCCGCGAGGACCCGGCGCCCAGCCCCGTACCGCGCTCCGGTGCCGCTCCGGTGCCGCTCCGGTGCCGCTCCGCTCCGCTCCGCCGCCTGCGGCCGCAGGGGGCCGGGGCTGCCCGGGCTGCCCGCCCCTGGGCAGCGGCGGGGCGGCGAGCCCGCCCCCGGCCCCGCGGGACGCCCCCGGCCCCCGCAGCCGCCGCCTCTCAAGGTCGCCTCGGATTAAGGTCACGTCCCTCCCGGGGGTGGGGGGGGGGGGGGGAAGGCGGTGGCGGGGCAGGCAGGAGCGGCAGCACCCTACAGTGCCCCCCCCGTTTAGGGCCGAGCCTCCACTCCCACCCTCCGGCAGGGCCTGTCCCTCCCCCAGACCCCCTTGCACCCAACACAGCCTGACACTCCCCCCCTCCGCCCCAACCACAGGGCATCCCCAGCGTGTCCCTGTCCCCATGACACTGGTGGCTCACGGGCACTCCCCGTGGGAGAGACACAAGACCCAAGGAGCAGGGCACGGTTTGAGTTTACCGGGGTAAAACCCCCCCCCCCGTGGAAATCCAATTTTTTTAGTACTGGGGCACCCCGAGGTGGGTCAAGGGCTGCAGGGCAGGGTCTGAACTTCAGGTGGCTGATGCCTTAAGGCACAGCGACCCCGGGTGAGTAGGGCAGGGCTCGCAAACGTGCTGCAGGAAGGGGAGAGCGCTCGCTGCCTGCCTGCAAAGCGAAACGGAGCAGCACCAACTCCCCAAAACCCCTCCACCACATTGCCTTGAGAGACGGGGTGCCACAGGGAAGGGGCCAGCTCCCACGGGGAAAGGCTACGCGCTCTCCCCAGCTCACATCCCCAAGCTGGCAGGCCCCCCCCCCCCTTTCTCCCACCTGCAATAAATCCACCCCCCTCGCCCTCCTCAAGAGAACAAATTGGGAGCAATGTGTGCTGACTGGGGTTTTATTGTTTATTAATCTGAACTTACAAAAAACCAAACAAACAAACAAAACAACCAAACTAAACAGAAGCATTTTCACACCCTGTCAAGGTCAGGGTTGATGAGAAGGAAAAGGCAGCGATGGTTATAAAATGGGACCCCGGGGGCAAGGAAGTGGCTGTGCTCTCGCCCTGGTTACGCAAGGCTGCGAGGGGAGGAGGGAAGGGAAACGAGATGGGATTTAAGACACTGTTGGCACGACGCTGCAGATGATCAGCAAAATGGGATAGAGGAGGAGGGGGGGGGGAGAAATCGAGTAGCTGCCCAGGCTTGCCTGCAGCCAAGAGCGGGCAGAGCAGGCTCCCCCTGCAGCAGAGCCCGGGAGCTCCTCGGCTGCGTCCGAGAGCACCCGCTGCGGCCACACTGACCCCTGGGCGCAGGGAAGGCAGGTAAGAGGCTGCTGGTCCAGTTTAATTGCGGTGGGGCCAAGACAGACGCCAAGGCAGGTTTGAAAGCTGAACTGGATGCACCCGGCTGGCAGAGATGAGCTGGAGGGGGGGGGGGGGGGGGGGAGAGGAGGGGAGCCAGGACTGAGAGGCGCCTGGCAGGCAGCAGCGGGCGCGGAAGCCGGCGTACCTGGAGCCCGCAGGATGTCGCTCCCAGCTCTCCCGCGGCAGGGGACGATCGGCCAGTGGCCTGCCCAGCACCAGGCAGGTTTCCTAACGCCGAGCTCTGTTTGATGAGCCAGCCCGCAGCCCCGCTGGGCGAGAGCTGGGCTAGATGGGAGGCCAGCACACATCAGCCTCAGGCCGCTGGTTAGCTGCGGGAGCATGCTATTTACAGCACAAGAGCCACAGTCCTGCTGTCTTCTCCTCCCCCAGAGGAAGCACGCTTATGATGTGTGGGCTCATCGTAAGTAATCCAACCCCCCCCCCCACCCCCCCCTTCTTGGGGCAAGCACCGCGGTGGCCCAGCTCCAGCCACAGCCTCCACACCAAAGGAAAGGAAGAGAGAAGCTCGTTGCGCCAGCCGGGTGCAGAGCCAGGAGCAAGGATGTGCTGGCGGGGAAGAAAGCTGTCCCTGGGCTACCTGCAGCTGAGTAGCGGTCTTAAGAGGGGCTAAACCAACTTGATCGGCTTTTATTCAGCTCACTCATCTAAACAGACACGTAAACAAGAAGTGACAAGGAACTGGAGGGACACGGCGCACGCGCCCCGTGTCACGCACCGCCTGGGCGGAGGCTGCGTTAGCTGGAAGGAGCGGACATCCGCACCAGCCCCCGCCTGGCCGTGGGGGGAGAGATGCCAGCCAAGCCTCCTGGAAAGATGGGGATCCTTACAGATCGTTTTTATTGATTTTTTTTTTTTTTTTTTTTCTTCCCAATATTTTTTTTTTTTTTTTTTAAGCTGTAGTATCAGCATTTGCTGGTGTTGCGATCCCCAGAGGCATGCTGCATTGCTGCAGACCAGCCCCTTGGCTGGGCGGGATGGTCCGACAGGCCAGCAGCCAGCTGGCGTGCCCAGTTTGCTGCGGAAGAGGTCACCTGTTCCCGGTTCTTTGTAAACCTGAGCTGTTTCTTCCCCGGTCCCCTACCTCCCCCAGCAGTCATTGCGGAGGAAGAGGGATACCCCGTGGGTCAGTGACTTGACCCTCTTGCAGGTTCTTGACGAGCTGAGCCAGCCAGCGCTTCGTGGTGGTGTCATCCTTCAGGACCTGGGCGAAGGTGGTGTCCTTCAGTTGGTCAGGAAGGCACTGCCTGAGAGCTTCACGTGCCCTACATCAAGAGACAAGAAACGGGGGCCAACAAATAAACTCACAGGGGCAAGAGGGGAGCAAACCCCACCAGGGACCCGGCGCTCCTTTGCCTGGGGGGCTCCCCGGCCGGGGCCAGCCAAGGACAGCACCCAACAGCAGCACCGCAGCACGTGGCGCTCAGCCAGCCAGCACAGCGCCCGTCCCTCACGCTAAACCCCACCGAACCAACCCCTGTGCCCTGACACCCGTCAGTCAAGAGCAGTGCGATGCCAGGAGAGGCTGAGACAACAAACACATACCCAGCAGCTTCAGGCAGAGCCGCTGATCAGCAGGAAATCAGTTTGTATTCTCTCAGCTGAGCTTCATCTATCAGCTTCTACTGCTAACAGCACATATGACGCAGAAAAGGGAGAGCATGGCGTACCTTCCACCTCCACCCCTCTCTCATACCTAGTTCAAGCTACATTTGAGCTCAGGCAGTCGTAACCTGCACAGCTTGAATCTGCACAAGCCCCAAAGAGTCACTCTTTCTCTCACGTACCATAAAAGCTCCCGGGACCAGCAACAGAAAACACAAACCAACCAAAAAACCCGCCCATTTTCTGCACTGAGCTAAGGCCGATGTAAGGACAGGTGAGGAAACTCGACTCTCCCTGTGTGGGCACTGTGGACAAGAACAGCGCTTCCAAGGGAGTGGGAGAAGCCCCTGCCCAAACTCCTAAAATGTTTACCTGGGGTTATCAGAAAGGCGAAGGTAGCAGCGAACCACATGTTTCAGTAGCCGTGCCGACGGCTCCTTGGAGAGCTGCAGGACCATTTTACCCTGTTTGACAGAGGCCACCAGTTAGTCTTTGTAAGAACAGCTACACAATCAGCAAACACTGGGAAAGACCATTAAATCACTCGGGCTTCCTACACATCACAGCCCATCACCTTTCATCTAGGTACCCCTGCATGGAGCCCAGCACTCGGCTTGCCAAGATGCCTTTGAGAAGAGCAGCTAGCTGTCGACTTGGAAAGGATTCTCCCAGCAGCTCAGAGAAAGCTGGTCTCATCTCTATTTGTTTTTTACCTCCCCAGGACTGCTTAGAGGTCCGACACTCTGCTAGATTAAAGAAAGCCTGGGGTTTCCCCCTGGTGCGGGACGGCGAACGTATCCCACACACTTTGATACGCTCAGGCTGAGTCACCCCGAGAGGTCTGTTCCCAAGCTCTGCAACACTCCCTGTTCTCATCCGTGCTGCCTTCGATGCAACACCCTTTTAAAACATTAACAACAGCCTGGGAAGCCAGGCCAAAGGACTGGGCTCACCCACACCACATATAGGAAGATCCACATCTGGTCTTGTCATGCACCCAGGAGTTGTATTTTCCTTCTGCTACGTTCCTCATTAAGCCGTTACTGGGAAGCAAGACCAGGGCAGATCTCCCTAGCGCAGCCTCCACTCCTCACACTGTGTAGGACTTTGCACATGGTTGCACCTTTGAATGCACACAGCCCAGCGAACAGCGTGGGTATCTTCACACGCCTGCTTTGGAGGAGTTTTAACAATCTACTTCCTCATATTTAGGAGTCAATAAGATCTGCCCGACAAGTTGGGGTTTTTTCCTGTAAAACTCCATTGGCTAGCACTAACCATTTTCCTCATTAGCCAAATTCACCTGTATTTGGACATGGAGGTAGTTAGCAATTAGCAGGTCCCCCTCACCTGCCCTTTTGCAAACTTCCTGTTCTCAGCAATTCCCCAGCATACCAATATTTTTTCAAAATAAAGAACAAGTCAGGGAGCTCCTCAGACAGCTCCTGGATGGGAAATACTAATTTGCTCTTTTAAAAGCATTTAATACTTGCATAACTAACTCTGTTATCAGCAGACAAGGAAGTAAATCATCACCCTCATGAGACAGGAGAACACTATCCCAATTTTGAGGTAAAGAACAGAAATATCTACGAACATTTTCATCTTTCTCCATAGCACTATGGAATATTAATCATGTCAGTGCTTTGCCCAATGGTGGGATTACACTACAGCTAGAATTTCTTCCATAACAACACAGCTTTACACACCCACATCCTTCCGTGTTTGTACCCTTCTCAGCCATGGATTCTTCCTTGGTCTCCTTCCCTCCCCTCCCCCAGGGTTTCTAATTGCATCTTTCACTTTGCCCCCAAGCCAGATGTACTTTCACCAAAGCTGATCCTTTTACTGAATGCAAAAATCACGTCACATGGGATATTATGGACATCAGCTCACAATCGTTCACATTTTTCTGTTTGTGGGTGAATTAGGAGGTAATGTTTTCTTTACATTTGGGAAAACAGAGACAAATAAATATTCCCAATGAAAGCATTGGCATTTAGGCACAGAACCAGCATTGCAAAGCGCTTAACTTAATGCTGCATTTTCATCTCCTGAGACTGCTCTTTAAAAAGCAAACAGCCAACCAACCAAGCACAAAAGCAGAACAACAGCCATTCCAGGGCAGACGTATTCTCCGCGGCGAGCTCAAAGATAATAAAACTCAAGTTGGGGCTATCACTCCTGGGAGGAACAAATTATGAATACCTGAACTCCTCCTTCACAGTGGACAGAGATGGACAAAAATTGTCTGCTCTGGGTTCCGACAGAAGAATTAGAGTCATAAACAGCAGCTAGTAGAAGCCATGTTCAAAAGGCAAAAAAAAGAGGACGGCCTTCCAGGCCAGAAAACATAATCTTACCAGTATCATGGCAACATGGGAAAACCTCTCATAAGTCTGACAGATATATGCCAGCCCCGTGTCATCCAGGAGGATTTTCTGAAGAATAAATGTAGCAACCTAGAATGGGGAGAAAGCAAAAGAGAAAGCACGTAAACAACTTACCTATCCTGAAAAGGGAGAGCCTTTGTGCTGTGTTCTTTTCAAGGAGTCCCAGAGCTGAAAAGCTTTTCAGCAGGCAGCAGATGCTTTACTCGGTAAAAGTTTAAAGCCAAAAGAAAATGCAGGTCACTACACAATGCTTGGCATCTCAGGCTAAAGAAAAGAGATGGACACAAAGCAGTGTATACAAGATGACTGGATGCAGGTTGCGTAAGACAACTACTGCGGGACCACTCAGGACAGCCTCAGGATTATAGCCACACTACTCTGATCACAGAGCAAGAAGCAGGAAAAGGATCTGTCCCTTGGCCCTGCCATCTAGACGGCAAGCTGATTTTGGTTTTCATCTTGAGCATTCATCATGAGACAAGTGACTTTCTGGAAGAACCTCAGCCAGCTATGTCAGCAAGCTTCACCAGAGAAGTGCACACAGATACCTGTGGCTAGCCTACCTGGGTCATCAGACCAGTCTGACCACAGATCTGAGTTCATGGGGGAAAGAGGCCCCTGATCAGAGAAGAAAAACTGGTCCAGTACGGTGAACATTCCCACCACCACCACTAACAGCTGCCACCCAACCTCCGTGCTGCATAGCTACAGCGCTTGTTCTCTCAAGCGAAGGAAAGCCGATCCAGCTCAGCCCTGAAAGTTACTCTGCAGGGCTGCAAAGGAGGGAACGGGTGTTGAGAGCAGCAAGATCTTTCCCAGCAAAACTACCAGGCTCAGGAACTCCAGCTTAGTTTGGCAGTTTCAGTTTGTTTGTTTTCTGAGGAGGTAAAAACGCCACCCAGAGTTGCCCCAGCATTTGCAACAGGACACAAGCCAACTCTGAAGGTTACTGGCTGCCTGGTCAGTCAGAGATAAGCAACAAGAACTCTTAATTAAGACAAAAAGAGTAGGTACCGTTTTGGAGAGTTCACTGCCAGACTCCATAATGCGTAAGCACAGGGGGATAATTTCTGTTGTCAATAAGAAATTTATCACTTCTTGCTCATCAGTTTTCACCAAGGCCCCTTGAAGGAAAAACAAAACCCCAAAATCAATAAATGATTTTTTCAAAAAAACTCTCACCTTTCAAAGAGGGCCTGTGCTGTGTCCTCCCCAGGAATCATTAAGTCTGAATAGCAGGCAGAGCAACTGTCACCCTAAATATGTTGCAGCACACAGCTGGAGAAGAAATCATTTTGGCAGCATAAAAGTAATCAAGCTGGGTTTGGGGGTGGTTTATTTCTCAGAAAGGGGATGCATTCTTGGCTGTCCCCGAGTGGTAACACAAACACAAAAGGATCATGTCACACACAGAGCAACATCTGGGAATAAAAAGTGCATTTTATGACTCTCTTACTTTACACACAGAGATAAATGTTTTGGGCAGAAAGAAAAAAAAAAAAAAACAAAAAAACCAACAAACAGGATAAGTGGAAGACAGGGCAAATATACCCAAGCCAGTCAATGACAAAAACCCAAAGAAAGCCCAGTCTGCACCCACCCATGCCAGTGTCTAGCTATCTGGGCTGAGGGTGAAGGCACAACAAGTCTGCAGGTGCTTGTACTCACTGGAATCATATTTTTGGCAAAGCACCCAGACTTCAGTGTTTTCTTATTAGTGACAAGCCCAGTTCCTACACACAAAGAGGAACCTGCCTCTACAACTGATGGAAAAGGAGCAGTTCCTCCTGTTAATACTACCAGATTCAGAAGATCCCAATAAGAAGAGACCTGTGATTTTGGTTGCGCAGGTCTCAGCATGAACTGCATCCAACCTGCTGAGAAACTAGTGCTCCAGCATTAGTGTGGCTGCTTACCAATCACGCCAAGGCTCGTGAGCCGCAGGTACTCAAACGGACGTGTCTTGCTCACTGTGTGCAAGAAGGGGTACAGGAAGAGAGGAATATGAGCTGCCAGAAAAGCTGACCTGTAAGAAAAAGAGAACACCCAGTGTGAGAGACAAGGAAAACAAAGTGAGCATGCAACCCAGCATTACCATGCAGAGCCTCAGACTGTTCCTGACAGACACCACTGCTGCTGCTGCTCCACAAAAGAGGGTAACAGGTTGTTCTCTAATGGAAAGGTATGAAGTAAATTCTGCACTGGGCAAAAACCTAACACCTAAACTTTCAGTTACATGCATTGCTGCTTCCAGCTGACCAGGACCAGAGCACGTCCTGTTGGTTTTATTACCGCTTTCTGCCACCCAGACCCTCTGCTTTGTACATTCACTGTTGCATTTCACCTTGAAGGCTCCCATGTGCAGGAACGGTCAGCCACAATTCATGTGCAATGCTTCTGCATGACAAAAATCCACACTGCTTGATCTCTAGGCATTACCACAGTTTAAATGTGCACAACCACCTTTCCCCAAGAGTCTTCACTCTGCCTTCTGATAATCGTGAGAAATACAGACTGCTGGGAGAAACCCAGAGATTGCTCTGCTAGCAGAGGGAAGCTCTCTGCACAATCATCCAACATTTTTCCTCTGTTTTCAGCTTTCAAACTTTAAATACAAAGATGTGTGGTGTAAAACTACCTTATTTCTTAGGATATCATCTCATGGAGGGTTGCTGTTTAACACTGCTTTGCAGCAGCTGAAAAACAACTTTAGTTATGCATCATTTCCTTCTCAGCAGGAAAAGAAGCATGAGATTATGGATCTCTGAGTAGTTTTCTTCTGAGTTTTAGCTACTGATTTTGGCTAAACCAACATCATCTTTTCCTGTGCTGACATGTGAGGACACAGATTGAAAAAAACTGAAGTCAGGCACTGGCTGAGGACTCCAGACAGGGCTCTGCTACTGCTACTTTGCCACACAAAGTCTCTATGGGAAGTACAGTTCTGCTCATTTCACCCTTTGGACAGCTGGTCTAAATAACGGTAAGCTGCTGGTCTAAATAACTATAAGCTCATTAAAAACAAGGATCCTGCACTCAGCACAAAGGCACCCACATCTCTGGCTGAGCTCCCAGGAGCTGCCACAACTCAACGTTTTGGGAATTTGCAGGATCTCAGGATGATCCAGGAAATGCGATGCATTTAGGAACACCATAAAGCTGTTGTCTTGATAATCCATGCAAGCAAGTGAAAGCAGCAGGCAGCTGTCTATCTTCCAGCTCTGTCCTCTGTTCCGCTTCTCTTGGTAAAAAAGAAGAAAGGACCTTACGTGCATCTGGAGTCAAACAGACAGGCTGAGCTGTCAACATCAACACCTCAGAAAACTCATGCACTTGAAAATGCTTACCTTGTTTCAGGGTGCGATGCAACACACTGTAGCAGAGCCAAAGCATTGCAGACTCTGTTGGACTGATGGGCTGTCAAAGTCGGAGGGTTGATGGATGGATAAATATTTACAATTTCCTAAAAATTAACAGATGATGAAAAGTTAAAGGAGAAAAACATCAGAAAGCTGCACCGAAGCACTTGCCCAGCAGGGAACTATGGTGATAGGAGATGACATCCTGCTTTTACCAACCATCATTTTCAAGTTACATGGCAGCCACCACACTGCCCAGGCAAGGGCAGAGCTGGGTCAGAGTCAATTTGACAAGGAGTCACAGGAACACATTCAAACCTTAATTTCAGTAAAAAAGGGTTCATTTGATTTCCTGTCTCTTTACTAGTGTAGGGACTTCTTTGTTTTGAACTTCCAGATCGAAGAGGAGTGTTGTTCTCCTGCCTAGAGGCAAAGCACACCCACTCTATTCATACTGTATCTGCTGGTACTCTTCTAACTCAATGCAGGGGAAGTAGCTGATGGCGAGAAATCCGATTCAGAAGTCTGCCAGCTTCCAACTATAGCTCCCTTCTAATTTTCTTCACTTGTCTCAGGGCCACTCCAAGAACAGTTTGACATTGCCAATCCTGCACTCTTTCCATCTATGAAATAAATGACTAGATTTGGCACTGGGAGATAGCCAGTCATCAGCTGTAGAGTAGTTTGCCCAGAGATGAGCTGAGCCGCTCCGTTTCACATGAAATGCAGGTACTTTCCCTCGCAAGGATCTTTGGAGCAGTGAGCAGCATTCCTACGCTGCCCTTCCAGCAGGCTCCCTGCAGGGGCAACCTTCTGACCTGGAAGTGCTCAAGCTCATGCAAAATAAATCAAACCAGAGATGTTGGGAGTAAGACTGTTGTGGTTCTGCTATGACATTGTATGAAAATAAGCAGAACGTGATCTACAGGGAGCTCATACAGCCAAGAACTTGCCTGTTCCCCTATGCAGATACGCAAGCTAATTAGAAATCTTATAGTGTGTGCACACAATGACTTGCTAGTGATGATTAATGTCAAATGGGCTTCCCACATCAGCTCTCCTCACCACATGATCTGGCATCCATCATACTCCCAGCAACTGCAATAAGGGACCCTATCAGTGCCTCCCCAGATCTGCCCCACAGACACACAAACTCTGCAATGTGCTGGTGCTGCACCATGGAATAAAGATGCCGCCGGTCCCACCCACCTGAAGGAGCGCTGCGATCGTACCAAAGGAGTGCCACAGCATCGGGGCGAGGTCAGGCACAGACTCACGCTTCTTGCTCAGCTCCAGCAGCGCATTCTCCCGTGTCTCGGGGCTGGACAGCTCATTGATCCACTGGTAGATCTTCTCACGGTCAACCTGAGCCAGCGCTGTTGGCACGGGCTGGGAGGGAGACAAGAAAACTTCAGTCCAAACATTTTATTCCAGTCTCACTCACCCTTCCCGCAACCTGGCAGATAAGCAAAAAAGTGCTCAAGAAACTCCTGACTAGAGGAGGGAGGAACTAAAGCTGCATTAAGATGCTCTGGATATGGATCCCTTCCTTAGATTAGTCTTGTTATTTCACCTATCTGAAATACAAAGGTTTTACTTTCTGGCCTGACTTAGGACAGTCTCTCTTAATCCACCTGTCAAGTAGTACCTTATAACTTCATTCAGCAATAAGGGAGCCATGCTGCTGCCTGTCTCTGCCAGCAGAGTTCCCAGGGAGGTCACACATACTTTAGCCAACTATCATTTGCTCCACCTGCATTTAGCATGCATTCATTTCACGCTTTAAGTGCAAGGTTCCACAAATTCAAAAGCAGGTGCCACCCTTTTTCTCTCCAAAAATGGCTATGACATTGGAACCTGTCAGTGGGATTCACCCAACATACACTAGAAAAATATTCACACAAATACTAGAGAAATTCTCACTACTCCAACATCAGCATGACACCATCCACAGTCAGTAACACCTGCTGTTAGAGACATCTCATATTCATCCCACATATCTTGTTTACATGCATGGAGCTAAAAGGAAATTTATCAAGACTGATTTTGTGCAAAAATTCCTGTTCAAAATAAACCCAGAGAGGGGTAGATCTGCATTCACAGTCAAGGCACATTTTTCTACCACTTAGAAGAAATGCAGGATTTCCCTTCTGCCTTTCTCAGAATAGCAGGGAAAAAACAGCATCAAGGCCAACAAGTTTTCAAGCAAAAAAAAAAATGACAGAGGGCTGGGAAGGAAAGGAAGAGAAACAGGGACTGTGGAACTGTAGCATAGTTTCTGTGAAGAGGGCAAGGTGCAAGTCTTTCAATTAAAGTTTGTCTCATGACTCAGCTGGCACAAGCACTCAAGGTGCAAATGCTCAGTAGGCTTCCCAAGTAGACACTCTGGTGATTCAGATACAAAATTCTGAGGAAGACAAACATCAGCATTAAAACCTCCTGTGCAAACACTTCCAAAAGTCAGTTCAGAACTGATTCAAACATTCTGCTGCAATGTTTACTATTCAAGCAGAGCGCAGCCTTGTTTGTACACTGCTGCTGCTGGGTGAGCCTGCATGCAACCAGCTCAGCATCCCCAAGTGTGCGGCAATCACGGCTGGGAACAGAGGACAGACTGTGTTGGTTTTTTGTTTTTGGTTTTTTTTTTTTTTTTTTTGAACCCAGACTGAAACTCTTTATTCGCTTACCACAACAGATGTGAGCACTGCCTGTACTGCACTGACAGCAATGCTACTACTAAGCATTTCATCACTGAGGCACTGAAGAGAATACAGAGTTTAGGAACTGAAAGTGGCTGGAACCAAACCTGAAGCCATATGCCAGAGGCTCCCAGGACTGCAGGAGGGGTGAAGGGAGACTTCTTAACCTTTGGCAGACATCTCCAGAGCTTTCTGTTTCTGCCAAGGTTTCCCTCCTCCATTCATCCACATTTATACCCATAGTCAAGTCCAAACAGATTCTTCCCCAGCTCTGGGATTTCTCTCTCCCCCAGACACTTCCACCATATTATTTAACTTAAATGTCTATATAGAAGCCAGTTGTGCTGTTATCAAACCCTATAATCTAGGGCTCAAATACATTTTTATCTGTTCATCTTTCCTCCTATCCTCTATTAATTTTTTTTTTTTTTTCCCCCCAGAACCTCACACTAATCCTGTAATCACAGTAATCCTGACAAATGTATCACGCTTTTACAGCTGGGAGTGCAATGCCAATGGCAACTCCTACACTGGAGCTCAGAAAGAGAGGGAGAATGAACTGAACTCATTTGTTTTTATTTGGGATGGTAGAGTGACAAGCAGTCTAGCAATAATGTTGTTGTAATTGTGTTATCTAAAGCTTCCATCTATTTTTCTAGACTCACTGGAAGTTTCAGTTCCTGTAAGCTTAAATACAACAACCCTTTAAAAGCACAATCATGTGCTTGTGATCCCTAGAGAACAGTAAGTAGATTTTCCACACAATTATGTTTATGACGTCCAGTATCTGCCTTAGCCAGAACCAACTGCTTTTCACAGGCTTTACAGTTGCTCCTCTCACTTTAGTTTAAATTGAAAGATGCATTTTATTTTCTTAATTTCCTACTTTATTGCTGTTCCTCCTTCTCCCTCCAAAACCTAAAATTCTGGGCAACCCCAAGGGTTACACAAAAATCCTGCACACTCTGAGACAGAACTCTGCCAGGCAGACTTTCTTTTGCACACAGGGAAAGCAAAAGTTACCAACAGTATCTCAATACAGCACAAACTAGCCACCTCTGCATCATAAAAGATCTTGTATCACCTTCCTCAAGAGAAAGGCATTATCTCAAACACCTACGCCTCATTACACTTCCAACAATCACATAACAAACTAGATTTAGACAACTGGCTTTCTCTTCCTAATTGAGCAGTTGCTGCTAGGTACACTGGTAAAAGTACTGGTCAACCAAAGCAGAACATTGACTAACAGGATACATGTGCTTTTTAAACTATTTTAATAGATCACCAACTCAAAAATACCAAAATGAGCAATGAACTTCAGTAGCAGTGAATTAGTAGATAGGAGTTGAGATTTCACTGCCTCGCTGGTATTTACAGCTACATTATTTGGTTTTAGTCTGTTCTGGAGCTTCTAGCACATTATGCTGTCTTCAGGTTTGAAATTGAAGTGTCAGCTCTGCCACGAGCATCACTGTATAAAGATCAATGCTCTGGCCTACCACAGCTTTATCACAACAGCACTCACAGCACCCGAAGGGATTCCTGAGCCAATTCATGACCCTAAGAGGTAATGCTAGTCAGTGTGGCTCTGAAGTACATCTCTAGACACAAACACCCTTCCCTGTCACTTTTAGTCTAAGCATGCTGATTGACTGTGGTAGGAAACATTTCAATACAGAACTACCAGGTGGTGTGAATTATGTATAAATTAAATATACATTCAGATGAGTCCCAAAATAAAGTTGATTTCTATTCCTGAAATGGATTAGTTTGTTAAAATTGGCTTTTAAAAAATCCTTTTATACAGAGGTGACTAGAACACAGATAGAGGATTAATAGGAGATACAACAGTCCCTCATGCATTTTGACAAGCACTAGGAATTACGTTGCTATAAAAATGTAAATGCTGCTTAAGAGAGTTCACTATGATCTTGCACAACCTTCTGTGCTCCAGAAAGCGTCCTTTAAATCAGAAGTACTTGCCAACACTCCAAGAACCAATTTAAAGTCATGAGCCCTTAAACAAAGTAGCAAGACTTAAAAAGTTCTCTCAACTCCTGCTCATAAGTACCTTACTCACTCGTTTGCTTGTTAGTCCAAGCAGATCCTTGAGCTAAGTTCATCTGAAAATAGCTCTAACTGCTGGTCTTGCAATACACCTCCCAAACCAAATACACACCAGAAACTCAGTCAACTCCAGGAAGTCTTACAGACATGATGAATGTGCATTTCATGGAATCACAGAATACCAGGTTGGAAGGGACCTCACGGATCATCTGGTCCAAACTCTGTCCAGCTGAATCTCAAAAGTGTCCAACGTTGGGGAATCCACCACTTCCCCCAGGAGATTATTCCAGTGGCTCATTGTTCTCGCTCTGAAAAAATTTTCCTTGTCTCCAATTGGAATCTCTCCAAAAGTATCTTGTACACATTACTCCTTGTCTTTTCCATATGACTCACTGTAATAAAGGGAGTCTTGCATCTTCTTTGTAGGCATGCTTTAAATACTGGAACATGGTGGTAAGGTCCCCCCTAAGCTTTCTCTTCTCAAGGCTGAACGAACCCAATTCTCCCAGACTTTCCTCACATGGCAGGCTTCTCAGACGTATGATCATCTTTGGGGCCCTTCTCTGGACCCCTTCCAGCCTGTCCACATCTTTTTGGTATAGCAGGGACCAAAACTGAACACAGTATTCCAGGTGTGGCCTGACAAGCACCAAGTTGAGTGGGATGATGAAGAAGCGAAAGGGGAGAAGTAAAAACCAAGGCACAAACCCACTCAGATGGGAGATAAGATGCAATACCACATCGTTCAAACTCAGCTTCCATTTTTTAACCCAACCAGGCCAAGGTACCATTCCACCCCCATCAGCCTGACCACCAGGCATCCCATCCCACCACGGCAGCTTCCTGAGGGGAAGGAGAATAAGCACCAACTGCAGACAGCACTGCAAGGTATTGGAGGAAGCAGGCAGTATCTGCGTTTCCTCCCACTTGCCTGCTGTCCAGAGGAACCTTTTGCTATCTCCTATTTCCCTCTACAGACAAAGGCACAAGTAAAAGAGCTCCCCAGAAGACAGAGTAGGTGGCCGGGCGTGCAGAAGGCGTCCAGGAACAGAAAGGGAGCGCAGCGGGCAAAAGGAAGGAGAGAGGGAAAACCCTGCATGATACGCACCAGGCAGAAGGAGCACTGCCAGGAGCCCAGCAGCGAAGCCCCCCCGGCCCCTGGGCGAGCCACCCCGTCCCCGTAAGCAGCAGAGGAAGGACCGGCCACCTCGGGGACGCACGGAAGAGCCCCCAGGGGAGCAGCTGGAGCAAGAAAGCGCTCGCCCAGCGCCTCCCCGCTACCGACGGAATCCCGCCGCCCCAGTCAGCCACCGAGGCGTCCCCACGGTCCCGCTCCCCGCACGGCCTGCGCAACCGGGTCCCGTCCCCAGCCCCGCCCCGCTCGGGGCACGGAGCCACGTCTCACCGCGGCCGTGGCCAAGCTGTGCATGGTGGGAGCGGTGCCGGTGCTGCCGCCGGGCCCGGCTCAGGAGACCGAGACCGCGACTGCCGCCACCGCCATGAACCCAGGCCCGGCCCGGCCCCTCGGCCTCCGCGCGCCCGCCCGCCCGCCCGCCGCGAGGGAGGCTGGGAGAGGGGCGGAGCCAAGAGGCGATGGCGGTGCGCATGCGCACGGGCACCGGCGGGGCGGTGCCGGGGGGGGGGCGCGCCAATCGGGCCGCTTTGCGCATGCGCGCCGCGGGTAGTGGCCCCGGGGCGGTGTGGGGGGGGGGGGGAGTAATGGCGATGCCGCCGCCGCTGCCGCCGCCGCCGCCGCAGGGCGCGCCGGGAAGGGCGCCGCCGCGCTGACGCAAGCGGGGCGCGCGCGCGCGCGTGCGTGCGTGCGTCGCGCAGCGTCTCGCGCTGCTGACCGGTTCCCGCCATCCGCCGCCGCCCCCCCCTCCCTTTCCCCCCCCCCCCCCTCCCCTTCTCCCTCCCCAAACACCCCGGGCCTCAGCCCGCCCAGCGGCGCTGGGGACGCGCCGGAACGCAGGTACCGGGGCTCGGTCCCCTCCCCCTTCCCGGACCCCCCCCCCCCATTGAGCCCGGCCGGGTGCCCCCCCCCTCATCCCCCCCCCCCGCCGTGCGGCGCCTCCCCTCACAGCGGCCGGGCCCTGGGCGGCAACGGAGCGGGGGGGCGCGCCGCCCTCACCCCCTTCCTCCCGGTCCGGGCGGGCGGCGGGGCCGCGGGGCGCTGCCCGGGGCGGGGGGGGGTGAGGCGGGGAGCGAGGCCACCGCTGCTGGGCCTGAGCGCGGGCTGCCCGGGGGGGGGACCCTCCTCGGCGGTGCTTCCCGGGCTGCGCGCAGCAGCCGCTTCATTCATTTCTTCTCGATTTTAGTTAAAATGCGCCCCGCCGCGCTGACCGGGAGCCGGCGGCGGGGTGGGGGGCTGTTTCCGTGCCGCTGGGCCGGTCGCTTTCCCGGGCAGAGTGCTGGGGGGGAGCGGGCACCGCCGCCCCGGGGACCCCCGGCCGGGCCCCTCCAGGTCACCGTGGCTCCCGCCCCATCGGAAACAAACTCGTTTATCCTCTTAGATTGCGTCCAAAACTTTGTTTTCCACCTTTTACTGGCTTTTCCTCAGGCATCTTTCTTTTTTTTTCTTCCCTGAAATCTGTTAAAGTTCCTTTAAGGATTTGCAAGAACTGCTTCTGTGCCTGGATGGGGTGTGTTTGCCTTTCATCAGTGAGGAATCAGCGTGTTGCCACCCAAACAGATTTTATTAATTTAAGTTTCCTTCACGTATGTCTAACAGTCCTTCACTGGGTTTAAAAATACCAGCAAAACCACTCTAATGAACTTCTACAGAAATTTTAAGCCACACTTATGTCTTTCTGTAGCCATTATTTGGCTGCCTAGGTATAAATTTCTCCTCTTTAACAGGTTTTTAAGGTGGAGCGCGCTTACTTGTTAGCTCTTTTCCGTGAGAAACCATGGCTCCCCTAAAGGTGCACGGACCTGTCCGGATGCGCAGCATGCAAACAGGGATTACAAAATGGAAAGAAGGGAGCTTTGAAATTGTGGAGAAGGACAACAAAGTGAGTCTAGTGGTTCACTACAATGTTGGAGGAATTCCAAAGACATTTCAGGTACACCAAATATTAAGGCTTTTGTTTGAGTAGTGCATGGATTGTGCTCTTTTGTGAACAGCTGTCCTCTTCAAGGCTATTAAGTGTCACGCAAACTTCCCTCTGTCACTGTTTCTTGTTCCTCGTTTCCTGAACACTAATCCCTTTGTATAACTCTCCTGTAAATTATTCATGTGTATTGTTAAAGGATCTGCCAAGGTCGGCGTTGAGATCCCACTGAATGGGAAGAACCAAAAAGCAGAGAAAAGTTACCAAAGTATATAGCATTGTGGCTCATGCCTTCAGAGTTTTGGAACATGTAACCTTTCTGTTACTGGTGCCTTTGCAGAATCTAGAGGTGAAGATCCTGAACACTTTGTACTAGCAGTTTTCCCAGCTGTAATGGTGTTAACATACTTGTAGCCTTTTGTTTGTTTATACAAGACTGCTGAACAGCAATTGTTACAGTTTTAGGTTTTACATATACCAGGCAATGTAGTTTCCTCACTGAGAGGCTGGTGCAGGTCACTGTTAAAGATTCTCTTGCAATATATCAGCCTAGGTTGCCTTTTTTTCATTCTGTAGTTGTTTTCAGCTCAGTCTTCATAGCTTTTTGTGCAAAATTCCCCAAACCAAAAGAATGCAAAGGAGTGTTTTTCTGTAACAAATTGCTATCTGATTTAAAAATACTTAGAACATGTAAGAGCAGGTGGAGGAAAAAAACAATTGTATCTTATGTAGCAACTTTGTAACAGACTAAACTGATCTAAATGTTAGCTTCTGCTTTTTGGTGCCACAGTTGTTTTTTATCAGTAGTGTTCACCACACCTTTCTGAGCCATTTATTTCTGTATGCTGGACTCAGTGGAAAAAAATGTTCACTTTATTTTTGAAAGATCGGGTTTTGCCGTCTTACTTTGCTGAAAAGTCTCGGCAAAGAATCCGTCAGTCTGTGCTGCCTTGGATTCAAGGTGTGAGAAAATCATTAGCTGTGGATAGTTCCTACCTCTGTTGCTGAAAAGGATCATCTGCCTTTTCATGTACGATGCCGTGACTGCAGATTTCATTTAATCCAGTGTTGGAGCATGTTGCTTTTTGAGAAGAGTGGTCTCTTCATCCCCTCATAGCTTCCCTGGGTGCTTGTTCTCACACGCTCCTTTCTGCCTGGATGAGTGTTGCCGCGGTGTGACAGTGACTCGGAAGGTGGTTCCGTGGGGAGGCTGAGTCTATAGAATAGCTAACCATGGCCTAAAGGGGCAGGTTTTGCTCCCAGCATCTCACATCTGCTGGCTGTGATACTTGTCAGATCTCTGTGAGCTCAGTGGAGGGTTTTCATGTGAATTAATTTGGGGAAAGGACCAAATGTGAGATCTGGTAGAGGTGATGATACAGCACCATGCAGCTAGGACCACAGAAACAGAGGAGGAGGAAATGCCACGTCTTTAGAGCAATTATTTTTGTTTGGACAGTAGTTATTTTTCAGTGGGATCTGCTTTCTGGTCCTGTTCATCTTGAAGCAGCACAAACAACGGCACAAGAGTGTTGATGGGAGCAAGCAGCAGGCAGGGAGAGCTGCCTGCCTCTTGCTGCAGGCTTGTGCTTAAGTGTAGTTTGTGTGAGCTGGCCCCAGTCTGTCACAGTGCTCCTGAGTGCTGCTTCATGCATGATGAATTCCTGATAATTTTGCTTTAGAAGTAGCGTTCCCTTTTTTTTTTGACAAGTTGCTGTGGGAGAACTGTGGATGATTTCGCCACCTTTTTTTACTTTTCTGTAATGGAATATGTGGATGGAATCAGGGTTACATTTCTTTCTACAGTGACTGGTGCATCATCAAATTTCTTATGTCGAATGGTATGTTTTACTGTTTTTTTAGAGCTTTTACTAAGTTGTCCTCTATGCTAGATACCTATTAAGAGAAATATGTCAGGTACTTCCACCTCCCAAGACTTTGTGATGCTGACTGGGTCATAACAGGTGCATGGGGAGTATGGATGGAGCCCTCTCATGATAGCATTTTGAGTTGAAAGAGGTTCTTTTGAACTGACATGGTGAAGTAAATGTAGTCGCTTTGCACTGAGCTTTATGTTTTAAGAGAGGATGAAAACTTTGGAGCCCCCTTTTTAATTCTTAGGTCTTTGAAGACATTTTTAGCCTATATTTTAAAGAAAACAACTCCACCCCCACCCCCCCCCCCAAAAAAAAAAAAAGAAACCCAAAATGCAAGGATCGAGCACAGAGTATTTCAGAAGTGTACTTTTCCCAGCAAAATAAGCCCTTAGTTTCTGATTGAGGATGATTTTCCAGCCTCTCTTGTAAACTGCTGTTGTATCTAGGTTGGCATTCCAAGAAGCTATAGATCTACATGGAAAAAAAGAAATCTCACTGATAGACATGGAATGCCTGTTACTATCTCAGTCTTTTACATACCTGAACAAATTGAAATTAAAATTAAGATTCATTTTTATTTTAACTTGTGTATAACTTGAAGGAGACAAGACAGGGTCTAGGGTAACGTATAGAGAAACTTTGGCGGTAAAGTGTAATCAGTGTTCATGTCTATTAATTCATCACCATTATTTAGATTGGTAGTGTGGCAGTATGCAGGTCAGGCCAAATTAGGAGAAGACTCCAATCTGATAGGCAGTGTTTTACTCTCGTGTAGTGCCCAATGATCTTGTCTGTGGTTTCCAATCTTGTATGAAGCATTAAATATAGCAATAGACTGTCATGGTGTAGCTCGTGCTTGATCTCAGGCAAGGCTAAAGAAGCAGCAACAAATGTAGAATTAAGCAAAAAAGGACAAGGGAATTGAAAATAAGTGTATGCTTAGGTATGTATTGTGAAACTTCTATGCAGTCTGCAGATGTGAGATACTCTTTTCCTTCCTCTGCTTTAGGAGTTACCCTCAACCTGCATTGATAGTAGAGCCTTTACTGAACAGCCAGTTCTTACAGGTGACTTAGCATGAAGTAACAATTAAGTAATGGTTTAATACAGTAGCAGCAGCATTACTAGGGAGCACGAATTCTTATTAAAATAATTCTTGTGCTTGACCATAACCCTTGGAGTTTTGACATCACTTAATTGTTATAGTGTTGCATGTAGACTAAGCATGTTTCTTATTAACTTACTCTCTTAGCAAATTTTTTAAGCTATGTCAAATGTGTCTTCCCTGAGAGCAAATTATAAAGCGAGTAGAAGTTTGTATTTAACATTTAAAACTTTCCACGTCTTAAATTATATTTCAAACTTGATGTGGAAGTTTCAGCCGGCTAAATGGGACTGTATGAAGCTCTTATTCCTTTAAGTTCAAAAATGTCACACTCAATAGCAAAGCAAGTTTCAGAAAGCTTGTCCAGGAATATAGAGACTGTTGAGATACAGTGATACTGTCTTTTCAGTTCTGCCAGCTCCCAAGATCAACAATTGCATTAATTCTGTGAGGCTTAATGTTTGCTCAAAATGGAGCAAGGAGAAGTATTTTGGTGTGAGTGCCTCTTACCCTCTCTATTTGAAGTGTTTTGTTTGAATTTGTAA